ACTTTCTTACATATTGACAACGCAGAGCGTGTGAGAACAAGTGGCGTTTGAAAGATTGCCTTTTTATTTATTATTATTATTATTAATTTATAAGGAAATATAAGTTTTCTGGTTTGGCACCTCTCCTGTGCTTCAAGCGACTCAGGAGACCGCTTAAGCCACGGCTCTATGATATTGTACCACAATATATTGCAAATGCTATGATAACGATGAATCACAATCCCATCCAAATGTCCCCCTGGCATTATCTGTCTGAGACGGTACGACCCTGTAATGCAAATCTGGAAAATTCACAGCACGTTGAAAACAGTCTCATTCAGATCAGAACTGGGTTGAAAGTGGGCTTAATTAGACTAACGACTTCTGCGGCATTACGGCTACGGTTACGTGCCATAATGGTAACCGATAGAGCTTACCTGTTATAAGGTCTTCAGTATAGTTCGAACTTAGGTTGAAGAGGCTTCGGTCGTGCTAGTGCTTTGATCGAGACAAACAGCTTGATCGGAGTAAAACTTAGGAGTAGATAAGGACTGGATTGTATAATTACTTTGATCGAAAAAGGCTGGAACCGGGGTAATCATTGCTTCTGGCCAGATGTTCTGTACTTGGGATGAAAAACCAATATTCAGTGCCTTCGAATCCAACCCATGGAATGTGGCCATAAACTGTAAGTGGCGACTATTAGAGGAACAGTTTCCTAAAGGATTGCGACTCGAAAGCAACAGCAAGCAATGGAAATGAATCAGCGATATAACCACTGCACTTTGTCTTGGTTATATTTCTGCCATTGTATTACGCAGATATCTCATTCTAAATAAAGACCTTTAACGACCGTTCAGCAACGTTCAACAGATAGAGATTTAAATGGAATGACCGTAAATACAGTGACTGTTCTCCTCGTGGCTTGCTCAGACGGCAGAGCGTCAAACCCAGAACCGAGAAGACCCGATTGAGTCACTCATCTCTTCCTTCCGAGGCTGATAAATGAGTATCACTTTGAAGCAACGAAACGGGAGACTACGCAGCACATTTGCTACGTAGTTGCTGCCGATTCTGCTCTTACAATAAGGCATTGCTGACTAATGGGATGGAAGTCAAGACCAGTGTTCCACCTTCAACTTCATGAAAGGAAGCGTGCGATAAATGGCCCCATCGTGAAAGTGTTAGAAAGACCAAAATTAGAACGGTTACCAATGTTCGTTCCTTATTTAGTTTTTCCGGGCGCATGTATCCTCAACAGCATGTAACGAACCCATTTAAGCTCCCAAGGAGTTTCTGACTGCTGCAGTTGTTCTATGCATATAATAACGTGGCCGTGGGAAGACAAACATTTATTGCACAAAAAATACTTTTATATATACAGTGAAAAATCAAGGTTATTCGTCATCATATCGTTGTTGACTGGGGTAAGTGAAATTTATCGGTTCGTACGCATCTTGGTTTCGATAACATTTTCTGCCGTATAACGTAGTGATAGCTTATAAGTTCTGTAGCGTTCTGCACATCGTCTAGATCGTCTCCACAATACTTATACCTTTGCTAATAATAGTTGGCTTCGTGATGCAAACTAGTTTCTCATAAACCCATCACTCCAACCGATGAACCACTCGATGTGGCAGTGACAGAGGGTAACATGCACAGAAGCAAATGCACGTTCAGTAGAATTTTTTCCTTCTACGATGTAACTTCTACGATGCTGCTTTAGAACGAAAGGGTTTAAAATGGAAAAGGAAACAAATGAAAGTTATGATAAAAAAAACTTTGCGAAGATCTGCGTAAAACCGATTCATCTGCGTTATTTACATCGCTTACATTTTTAGCATGACAACAGTCTGCACTGTTACGTCCCGTCGCTGATTCTAACCGCTTTAGTGACGTACTGGATTACCAGGTGTTTTCTATCCGTGTACGAGGTATGTACGACTGCTTTCCACTGTTAAAATTAATTTTGTACTAAAAAAGTTTATAATTAAATTACGCCACCCTAGTAGACGCTGATCGATTCCATTTTCATATGCTACCTGGAAAGCAAGCGAATTGAAACAGCCATCGCAGACGGCGTCCCACCAGCTTTTTTCAAACAACTCCAAGTAACAGTTTAATTTTATATAAAGATAAAAAATTTAACGAAACGTTTCAGAATCTAATGAAACAAAGTCTCAAAGAACCGTCACGCGGTTGCAACAGTTCGGTCGAGGACGAGGGCAAAGGACGCATTTCATCGGTGTAGTAATCAAACGACAAGGAAACGATAACCGCAGTCGAGCTGTCGTAACGCTCAAAACGCCAACTTGATGCTGGTTCGGTTTTTTACGGATACGATCGATACATCATCAACAGTTTCATCCGATATATAACACAACAAATTGTTTGAAATTATTTACAGATATTAAAACATCAACTGATGGGCATATTCTGTCCTTTGTGTCTACGTACGTAAATGATGTTTGTTCGCATGATTTATTCATCTCTGACGCGGTGCCCCCAGATGCTGGTGCGCCTGGCACCGACCGTCGGCCGCGCAACCGATGAATACGGACTTATGTTCAACTGTAGTTTCTTTGGCAGCATCTTTTGCAGGATCGGCATACAGTCGTCTCTGATTGTTCCAAATATGTTTAGCTCTTTCAGCGATTTGCACATCCTTAATCATAAAATTCAAATAGTCAAAAATTACAAAGTAATAATACATCATTACAACGGCACTGCATATAAGTGTAAAACAAGGGTTACTTACGTGTAAACAAATGGATCGATCTTGTAGCAACGGCTGCAAGACAACCGCTCAAGAACAGCGCAACCTTTGATGATTATGTTTATGGTTGCAGCTGACAGATCGGTGCAGTCACTGATGTCAATTTCGGTCACCAACGGACAGTTTACGACAAGATGAGCGACGTCTTAAACAGAAAAGGGGCGTCACAAATAATCGAATACATGTATGCATATAATGAAAACAATTAGACAGCTAGGGTGTCTGAAATTCAAAAGTTTTGATGAGTAACTATTTTCGGAATTTGACTAAATATTGAACGATACATGGATTAAAAAGCCTGTTGCTGTTACTGTGATGAGGACGGCATGCTGTGCATGAACGAGTACTGTAAGCTAGAGACAGTCGTTATCTTTATTTCTATCAATGGCTTCTATTTGCGCTGAAGGCCGAAATTTTAGCCAAGTAGGAAACGCATGGAATCTCAGATCAGGTTTTCATAGTAGTTTAGACATTTACTTAGAATGCCGTTAAATATGTAATGTCATCTGTCATCTACGCAGCTGCTTGCTCGAGAGAAGTCATTAGAGGGTTAATGATTAAGCGAAGATAGCCATTACTTACATGGAAATTAATAGAAACTCCAAAACTATCATAATATAGGAAAAGGAAAAAAAATTTGTCTCCGTTGGAATGACGGTATTCCTTAACTTTCACGACTGTGCCATTTTGGCGTCATTCTTTCAGGAAGTTGATGGTGCGGTGCTGATCTCTGTTTCTATTCCATTAGCCAGGAGCCTTATTTTTATGACATAGTCTACCGTGGTGTGGCAAAAGTAGCGTGTAGTCTCCTATCTCCTCACAGAGTTGTGCTAATTTATAAACCTCAAAAGGAAGAATGGCGACCGAGGAATCAACTCAGAACCAATCGGTCATCACTCGAACAGAACTGTTGTGCAATCCTCAGTTTGAATGAATGAAGTTTTCACACTGCGCTCTGCGTAATTTTATCTATTCAGCTACTTCACGTGGTACCTCTTTGTATGGCGCCTAAAGTGCAACCCTGTAATGCCATTTTCCCAAGAGCAGTCACCGTTCTTTCTCACCGTATGGCCGGAATATTGCATTTTTCTTACCTGTATTTTTATAAAGGGCGACCAATGAATCCCCAGCTGCTTTACGGTTTTCAAAAGGTTATATATAAATTTTATTAAATCCCCAATTTCGGATCGACTTGAATCTGTCTTCTAGAGACATGGTACAAATACAGTAGATAACAGCAGCAAGTACAATAGACAAAGTTACCAATGCTGTTAGGTACTGTGCTATAATCATATTGTGCGGATATCGATGAACTGTTAATAGGTAATACATTTATAGCTGCCAAATTTAAGTGTAATTCAGTCTCGCCAATTTTTTTGGTTATATTGCTACAGACTGGCGACACGTTCTCTTCATTGTCTCTGTGACGACATTCATATGCCGCATTCGTTGGTATGGAAATCCTTCAAAGCGATTCGTTGTAGTTATCTCATTTACCACATCTGAAACGCTTAATTAGACGTGTGTTCTGCTTCCTCGATGGTTCTAATTTTCTATCCGTTCATAGATTGCGACGGCGGACCAGATGTCTTAGCTTGGTGAATTTTCAAATTCCGGGACTTTGCCATATTCTACTCAATTCTGACATGCAACCTATTACCACTCTTCGACGTTAGCTAATCTGTTTTGCAAAGACCATTTTAATTTATGACAAGAAATATACAAGGTATTTGGTGCCCCCCCCC